TACAAATTAGCACAACACGTAACAAAACAAATACAGCCCTACATCGTAGGACCCTCGTCGTAAAGTGAGTGTGCCCGTGCAGACGCTCGTGTTACGAACTAGGTAACCCCAAGTTCGATTCCTTATCACGATCAATACCATGACGATTACCTAATGGGTCCTGGGCCTTCCCTAGGGCGATTCAGCCTCAAATTAGTACCTGATTTTGTGTGTAAATATCACTACTGGGGAGTCAAAAGGCGTGGTGCTGGAAATGCACTCCGTGTGGCCGTATCAGTCTTCATTGGTGCTACTCGCTAACAGCACTTGTCCCCCAGTCTGTTAAGGCTATACGGCAATCGTCATTGTTTGTGTGTGTCCCCGTGGTCGCGCGTGCCACATCAGGACTGAATGGAAATACAATTTTTTTTTCTCATTTCATGTTACTTTACTTTATTCTAGACGTTTTCGTGAATGCCAAGGATCCATACTCTTTGGTTTTATTCGGTACAGTCACATAGGTAAAAAAAATATATAAAAATAAGAGATAGAATAGAAAAAAATAAAAGTTAATTAAATCACGACGTTTCGATTGCAACACAAGCAATCATCATCAGGTGTGAAATCACTGCTATAATTTTTTACTAAGTGGGAGAAATGCCGAGGCGAAGTAGTGTATATAGTGTGGACGTCAGGGACTGGGACGTGAGACTGTGAAGCCATGTTACATAGGGTAGTTACGTTTACACCATTATAGGACTTCGTCCCGTAAGGGAAGTGTTAATAAAGACTCGCATCAACTCACGTGGTGTGATGTCTTTATTGATGCACTACACATGCAAATGCACAGTATTTCTTCTCATTGATGAGTTAAACACGTTCCTTCAGAGTGGGCTGTTAGGAACTTGGTTTGGACAGCACAATCCTGCGATCCGTGTCACTCGGCGCAGCTGCGTGGGCATGTGTCACGTGTGCTGAGCCCTCCCGAAGCGCTCTTTGAATACAAATCGAGGGCGTGCTATGCACAACAGACGACAAATAATCCCTGGTGGGCAGTGTGGAACTGCTGTTCCTACCTATAAATGTCTCCCTTTTTTATTCACCGTAACACATTTTATAACTGACTGTATGGACATTTAAATATGGTATATTGCGTTCCGTGCGACTTATGGAAAGGTCTCAGGAACGGAACCAGTTTTTTAGTTGGGGACTGCCCGTATCTAATCAGAGACATTCTGTCAGTTTATTGTTTTAAGGCCCCATGTGATAAATGCATGTTCAGGAAATCATATATCATAATACCACTTGCATGTTGTGAATGTGTGTGCAGAACACCGTCTTCATCAAAATCGGAGAAGTACTCATCTACTACATCGCACAACCTGCAGTACAGTATGTGGCCAACTTCTGGACACAACTGCTGCTGCTCAGAAATGGAGCTTTCTTCTTGGGGCACCAGGCACTGATCAGCCTGCCATATTTTGCATAGTTTTCCTGGTTCTTCGACTATACTCCAGGAGGTAAGGCAACTAAACGCCCATTGGACTTTCCTCCTGGCCCAAAGTGATACCGTTTTAGGGAATGTGCCTCTGTTTAAGAAACCCGATGTTGCCATAGAGAAGTTACGAAACAGTATGGAGAGGTGTGCAGCGTAATGGTGGGCAGATTTCCATGGTGTTTGTGAGTGGCTACCAGGCAGTAAAGAGGTCCTAGTGCATCAAGGCATGCGTTTGCAGACCGGCCAAACAACCCCCTCATTAAAAAGTAAACGAAGGCCTAGGCATTATTTTTGCTCCATATGGAAAATTTGGATGCAACATCGTAGGTTCACTCTGTCAACATGCGGAATTTTGGACTTGGTAAGTCATCCTAGAACAAACCATTCAGACAGAGGTTGGCTTCTTATTGAGGCATTTAAACAGAAAGGATCGCATTTGACCCTCACTATAACTTAAACAGTGCTGTGGGAAACATAATTGTGTCCATGGTGAAAGGAAACGGTATGAATACAGTGATAAGCAGTTCCAGGTTTTTTTTGCACCTCATTGAAAACAATCTTCAGCTCCAATCAGGGCCGCTGGGAACTTTATGCAACATCTTTCCCTTCTTGATCGACTTTCCTGGACCGCAGCAGAGAATATTCAAAACATGCAAAATCTAACATTTATTCGTGATATAATATCTGAACGCCATGCAACAAGAGATCCCCTCAAGCCAATGTGCCTGATTGACACCTACTTCTCAATTGGAGAAAGAGGACAATCCCAACACCAGCTCTCAGAACAGAGTCTCATCATGTTGACGTTGGACCTTTCACTGCTGGCGCAGAGACGACCTCCACCACATTACGCTGGGGCCTTCTCTACATGATGATCACCCTGAAATACAAGCCCAGTGCCATGAGGAGATTGACAAGATTGTGGGATCAGATCGACTACCATGCATGGAGACAGACACAGTCTGCCCTACCTGGATGCTGTGATCCATGAGATACAGCGCTTCAGTAACATTATTCCATTCGGGGTCCCGCATGCCACCACCACAGACGTCAAGTTACGCCAGTACTCGATTCCAAAAGGGACGATCATACTGGTGAATATGAAATCGTTCTGATGATGAAAATCATTGGAAAACCCCATACGAATTTAGTCCAGAAAACTTCCTTGATGAGGATGGCAAGTTTGTAAAGTCAGATGCCTTCCTGCCCTTCTCTGCTGGTCCCCGTGTCTGCCTGGGGAAAACTTAGCAAAGATGGAGCTTCCTTTTCTTTGCATCTCTTTTGCAGCATTTTGAGTTTATCTGGCCTGATCTGGTCTCTCCACCAACCCTGGATTATATATTGCAGATCACCAAGGCTCCAAAATCTTACAAATTGGGGCTTCATCTCCGCAATTGAACATAGTTTAAAGAGTGCTGTAGTGTGTGCTGTTGAGTCTATAATGTCCAAGCACACATGCACGCATTGGAAATATTATGTAAAACAACAATACATCACGATAGGTGAAAGAAATGGTATAAATCTGTTGTACAACAATGAGTGAATCAATTTAACTTTTTCTAGTAAATCGTTTAATCATATGTTACGTTAGTTTATAGATAGAGATGATAGTTTTCTACAAACATCTTCCATTACTTCAGCGAATTTGCCCAAAAATAGTTAACCTTCATTTCATACATTCTTTCACAAGTCACCCGGGGCCCGAGTACATAAACGTAGAAATAGATAATGAGACAAGCTCCCCTGTTCATAGTCTATTTATAGGTGGCAGTGAAATTTCTGGTGACAATTACATTGTGACTTTTTTCAAGCATTTTATACATGCAGTAAATGCATTAGAAAACATATATAGACACCATTACAATAGAAACAACTAACGACTCAGCTGTCTTCATAGGCTTGGATAAGGCATTGATACAATTGATCACCAAATCCTGTAAACCAAGTTAGTGATGTTGGACTTATTTAAGTAGCAGTAGGTTGGTGTCTAAATTACTTTGATAGTAGAAAACAATGCGTAAACATTGGTCAATCCTTCCTCTGGGTTTAAAAAACAAACACATGCCAAACAGCCACTCAATTACAACCACAGAAAACAACCGCTCAAACAACCACTACTATAAACAACTATTACCACTAAAACACATCAACAAATGCATGACAACCACAAATAACGCACAATAAATCCACAATCAAATGCTGAAACACAAGTATAAATTCTAGATTTGAAGCTTTCGTGACTGCAAGGATTCATACTCTTAGTTCTTTAGGTAAAGTCACGTAGGTAAAAATGAATTAAAATTAATAAAAATAAAACATAAAATCACGACGTTTCGGAGGCAACACAAGTCTCTGTCATCAGGTGGGACCGTCACAGCCAGATTTGCTGCATTTTTTACCTACGTGACTTTACCGAAGAACTAAGAGTACAAGTATACATGTCATTGTTATTGCCTTATACAAAATGCAACACTGGTGTTTATTCGTATCTTACATAATTGTCACAAACTATTTGGTATACTGTGTGAGCAATGATGCACAGGCACAAATAAGAAAATACTCAATATGATACTGGCAAAAATTTTGGATAGTGGCTAAAAGGTCCCATAGAGAAAAAAAAATCACATCGTTAATAATTCTGCCTAACCGGAAACATGATAAACGATGTTTTAGGCAATGGTGTTCTTAATATCAGATACTAGCTTTACTACCTGGCTTCGCCCGGGAACTTGGATTCACCCACGCCCGGCCGCCTTTGTCTCCCCAGTGACGATGTTCACATACCACACCAGTTACTCGTTTGAGGCTGAGTCGACCAGGGGAGGCCCAGGTCCGGTTCAAATAATCGTCACCGGTGGTGGCCGTGAGTGGGAATCGAACTCGGGTCGCCGGTTCGTAGCGTGGCGCGCTAACCACGACCACTACAATGCGTTACGCTTCCGTTGTAGGATTTGTGTGAGGCGCGCCGATCCATTGTAGGGTTTTAGTGAGGCGTGCCGATCCCCCGCGATACAATA